AGCTCTCTAGCCCAGTGTATGCCCACAAGGCCTAAAGTCCTACCTATTTGGCAGGCTAAAGAAAGAGGATTGCAAGTTTAAGACCTTCCCTAGATAAAAGGAAAGTTCAAGGCCAACCCAGGCAAGGGACTGAAATGTAGCTCAGTAGTAGGATGATTGCCCAGCCTGAGTAAAATCCTAGATTCAACATCTCTCACTGGGGGAAAAAAAAGTCTATGGCCATCTTACACAACCTTGGAGAATCCAGAGGATGGGTAAACTAGCTGTCATGTTGTATACCTTTTCCTGGGGAGATGCCTCTATTCACCCCAGATATCTCACCATTGATCCGCTTACCTAAAGACTCCACCCAGGCCCAGTTTGATAAATGAGTGAACTTGTTGCACTTACTCCCTGGAGAATGGGTGAGAGGTGACTTGTAAGGGTGTGGGTGACCCTGAAACAGCTGTAGCACCCAAAGTCTCACTCCGTGATGCACCCATGGTCTTGTGGAAGCTGAGAATCATGAGAGTGATGGCTGCGTTCCCAGGTGAGGGTTCCCAGGACCCCTACCTTCTACTCCAGAAGGATGAAAGCTCCGTTTCTGTTACCGTGACCGACTATCACTGCATTGCTTTGTTTATTTCACTGTTAGGACTATAGGGGCCAAGGCCATCTCTGTTCCATGACAGCAATGGTCATAGCGGTTATAATGTGCGAGCTGAATTGTGCCTAGAGGAAGAAAACTATAAAGCTATAAAGCAGCAGGTAGGATTCAGGAAAGCTCACGAAACACCCACAGCATGATTGAAAATGCTCATGGTAGTGGTACTGCTACTAAAAACAAAACAACAACAACAACAAAAAACCCATCACATGGGCAGGGGCTCATGAGGCTCCACCCTTAGCTGAGAGCATTGACAGTTGATGGCCGAGGGGAGAGAGTCAGTTTTCTTAGGAGTGTGTGTGGCCTCTTCCAGATTGCTCATGTACCACTGGATAGCCCTACACTCACGCTCAAAGAAGTAGCTCTAACTGGACTCTTCGTGGATTATATAGACAAAAAAGTAAGAAAGATGATTTATGAAGTTGGGAGGGGGTTACCCAGAGGGTATGGGAGAAACTAGAAGGAGGGGGAGATGCACGTGATCAAAACACATTGTACACACATATGAAACCCTCAGAGAACAGAGAATTAAAACAAATCTTTTTAAAAAATCACACAGAGTGCATTGCACGGTTATTATAGAGAGAGGGGAAAAGACTGGAACTGGAAAAAACTAAATGGCCCATCTCAAAGTGTCAGCACTTTCGAGAGCCTGAGTTTTTGGTCACTGTGCTCTAGTGCCTTCTGGAGAAAGCAGAATGTCTCCTGGGTCTCCCCAGGCCAGAGAAGCAACTCTCCAAGAATAATGACCCAAGTACTTGTATCCAAAATATGTTCTATGTACAGCATCAGTGGAGTGGGATGCAGTCCAGGGGACGATTGGCACAGCATGCACTAGCCTTGTTCCACAGTTCATTAATCACCCTCAGTTCAAGAGCATTTATCATGATTACCTCCATCCCTGTCCCATGATGAGGTGGTGTGCTTGCTTTTTTTTTTTTTTTAATAAAAATAAGGAAAAGTGTCGGGCAGTGGTGGTGCATGACTTTAATCCTGGCACTCAGGAGGCAGAGGCAAGCAGATCTATGATTGCAAGTCTAGTCTGGTCTATGAGTGATTTCCAAGACAGTCAGGGATACACAGAGAAAACCTGTCTTGGAAGAAAAAAAGAGCCTTAAAAAAAAAAACCCAGCCACATCTTTCTTGTAATTTCTTTGTAATTTCTGTAGTGAAGTTCTTAAGACCAGGATCATTCACTCATTCAGTGAACGTTTATTAAACTCCTACTGTAAGCTAGGCAGTGTCCTAGATGCTGGAAATCCATGAGGGATTAAAACAAATTTAAAATACCTGCTTTTATGGAGTGAAGGTAATAAACAAAACAAATAGGTAAAATAAAAGATAAATTCCATGACGTTCCACACTCAGAGGAAAGCTGATTTTTTCCCCCATAATTGGGATGATAAGCTTCCACCAGAACTGGTTTTAAACCTGTCTGGTTTGTCAATCTATAATCTTGAATCAAACACGCCAAGAGCTGTTTTAAATTTGATGAATGGATGAATGGCAGCTTGCTTCAATGAACACGCTTCTGAAAGCCAACCCTTCAGAGACAGCTTTGTGTATGGAAATCAACCAGCCCCTGGGGGAGCTTCCATCTGAGAAGGCCATCGACCCACTCCCGCCTCTAAAACCCACCCTAATCCAACACACTTTCCCAGCGATTCTATAAAAGATTAGCAATTTACTTTGCTCAGAGAAATCTACCAGACCAGCAAGGCTCTGCTTTACTTCAGTAGTCTAAGGAGATGCTTGGATTTAGAGCGGTGGTCTTCATCTCTGACAAATCTGAAAGTGCCTTTGAGATTATTTCGAAGATTCTCAGTTGCCTACATTCCAAGGGACTCCCAACCAACAGATGCCCCCACCAGGGCCTTTTTCCCAATCCGACTGAATGTCTCTGACCTATTGCATTAGAATGTTTTTGGATTCATTTGTTCTCCTAGGATTTGCAACTAGTCTTTCTTTGCTCTTGCAGATGCAGTGTTGGTATAATTAGAACTTTCCTTCTAGCTGCCTCATCTGGTGGATATTTTTGCCATTGATTTACTTCTTTTTTTTTTCCTCCCGCTCACTTAGCTTTGTTTTGGCTAAACTATAAGTACAAAGTCTCACTGTGCGCATTTTGTTTTGATCTCAATTGTCTGGTATTGGCTGAATTAATAGAGAATATCCCACAGGGAGGCTGGAAACACAGACTTCAGAGCAACCCATGCCAGCCTGAGGACCGAAAGTGACTGAGAGGCTTTTGTCCTGGAGTCCCCTCAAAATTTTTATGAGGAAGTTTCCTGTCTTTCGTTTGTTGAGTCATTGAACCTATGGCCCCTTCCAGAGGTTCTGAAACACCCACAGGAACACCCACATAGTGACCTGCTATGAAGGTCACTTTATCATAGGTTTAGGATGTCAAGGCCTCAGTCTCTTCCTGACTAAGATGCCCACCACGGGGACCATCAGCTGGCAAGGAAGCAATGTTTACTTTTGATTCACAGTCTTCTTGGTTTCAGCCTGTGGTAGGGTCTGAGCCATGTAGCACCCAATGGAGGGAGTATGTGGCAGAAGAGGCCTGTTTACTTCACTGTAGCCTGGAAGCCAAGAGAAAAGGTGGAAGACTTGGGTCTGATGGCCCCTTCAAGGCATATGTCCTGTGACCTAACCTTGACTAGCCCCCCCCTTTGTTAAATTTATTGTAGGGAGAGAGTACATGTGCCATGGGACATATGTGGAAACCACAGGACAAGTGGCAAGTATCTGTTTTTGCCTTCCATTATATATGTCCCCAGAAGTAAAGTTGGGTTGTCAGGCTTGGTAACACTTGTTAGTGGCCAGACCTACTGAGCAAATCTTGCCAGACCCAGGATCTGCTTCTTATTCGTTCCCTCGCCTCCCAATGGCAGGTCAGCCACCAAGTGTCTAACTGCAAACCATAGGTCAGGCCCAGTTCTCCTTTTTATCCAACTTTGTATTCAATACATAACAATTTGTAGTAAAAGCAGCTAAATGAAATTGTCTTGGTTTACTAGGATTGCCACAGAGAAGACCACAGGCGAGGTGATTTCATTTCCTCATGGTTCCTCATTTCCTCACCGTTCTAAGGAGTCTGAGATTAGTTGTTGGCCAATGCATTTCTCAGAGGCCTCCCCCTTAGCTTATCGATGGCCATCCCTCAGCTGTGTCTTCACATGCTCTCCCTACTCTGTCTACAGTCATCTGAATCTTCTGTTCTTACAAGGCAGTGGGTCATGTGGAGATGGGTACATAATAATGACCTGTCCTTAACTTCATTGCCTCTTCATAAGGAACCCATCTCTAAACAGGGTCACTGTTTGGGGTATGCTGTGGGACAATGGTTTTATCCTGTAAAGATTTGTCTCCTGTACTTGTTTAATAAAATGCTGATTGGCCAGTAACCAGGCAGGAAGTATAGGTGGGGAAACCAGAAGTGGAGAATTCTGGGAAGAGGAAAGGGTCAGTCTGCAGTCATCACCCAGACACAGAGGAAGCAAGATGAGATTGCCTCACTGATAAAAGGTACCAAGCCACGTGGCTAACCCAGACAAGACTTATGGGTTTATGTAAGTTCTAAGAGTTAATAAGGAGTCTAAGATAATAGGCCAACCAGTTTACAATTAGTGTAAGCCTCTGTGTGTTTCTTTGGGACTGAACAGCTGTGGGACTGGGTGGGACAGAAACCTCTGTCAACAGGGTACCTTTGATTAGGATTTCAACTTAAGGACTTCAAGGGAACACATAATCCTTGGGACAACGGCTCACTTAGTGAAAATCTTGACACACAATGGTAAGAAATTAGCACGTTTAAAAATAGGTCTAGAAAACTGTAGGGAAAATATGTTCAATATTGAGCTTTTTTTGATTTATATTCCAGGGACTAAACACAAAATACAAAGAGAGATTCCGCTGCTCTGCTCACACTCCCAGACATCTGTCCCCTGTGTACGGCACTCCATTGTCACCATCATTTGCTTTCCTGTGTTCCTTCTACTTTTTCTCATGACCTTGTAAGTGAATTTGTCATGGGAAAAGAAGGATCACATTGTAAAGTGTATCACGCCGAGAAATACCAGAGCAGAGGCATAACGGCAGAAAATGAATCCTAACCAGTGCTAAACTGGGCTATAATACAAGGATTTTTGTAAACTTCTGGAAGACGGGAGTTGGCTGTCGAATTCTGAGATTTTCTTACATCGATCGCCCTAAGCTTTGGATTTATATCAACCAATTTACAGAATCATTGGTCTTGTTTAGGAGTGGAAATGTTAAAAGCAGTGGTGTGGGAGAGGCAAGCAGAGAAATGAAATAACCCAGAGATGCCACAACTGTGAAAGGACAGGAAAATAATATTTAATAAGGCAGTGTCTGGAGGCTTCTCCTTAGAGGCAAGTCAGTGTTTAACCAGGAGCTCTGGGGTGGGGACGTTGTGAGCTGTGGTATTTGCCAAGTTCTGTGGTGTAAATACGCCCACCAGGGCCAATTTCCAGGTAACCATATGATGTTGCTGAATGTTGCACTGGGCAGAGAGACACGCAAAGGCGGGTATAACCGCTGCTCAGGGATCTTGGACAGAGATTTGGAATTATAAACCAAGTAAAAATGAATCAGCAGGGACTCCAGAAGCCATCTGAGCAGTATGCTGCCATGAACTCTCAGGTGGAGTCAAGGGCAACTCAATCTCTTTCCTTCACTGTGCTCCTACCTGAAAAGGAGAATAGGAAAAAAAGAGTTGTAAGGAAAAATTGTCAATTTGAGAACTTTCCAATATATAGCATTATGCAGAATTAAATGAGACAGAAATAGAGATGTGTGTGCCCTGTTTACTATGTCAGATTACTGGCCCAGGAAACTAAAGGTGCTCTGTTTCTCAGAGGATTACCCAGTGGAAGATTCTTGTCTAGCATGCATGAGGTCCTAGGTTCGATTCCTACTACTGCCAAAAAAGAATAAAAAGGAAAAGAACAAAAGAAAAGAGAAGATGACCTATAACCTATACAAACAACAAGCAGAAGGGTCTTCGAGAGAATGAATGTCCTGTGACGTCACTGGAGTCAGAATCCACTTTTCGCTGACCTAAATGAAGCTGATCCTGGCAGCGGACACAGGTGGCTGGCCAGGTGCCCAGTTGCTTCAATAGTAATAGAAATGATTGACCTTCAAATGAGGTCAATCTGGATCCTCTGTGTGTCTGCAATTGCATATCTCTACTGGATTGTTCAGCTGGGTGCTAAGTGGAACAAGTGTGCATGCCTCCTTATGCACGGGCTTCCCTCAGCTATGCTCCTGCCTCTGCTCCCTCCACAGTGAAATACCAGTGCTTCTCCCTCTTCTCACTTCCTTAAAAACCAGTGCTTTCTTATTGTGCCTGCTGGCCATCCCAGATCAAGGCCCTCCTTTTCCTGCCTGTTGCCTCTGCCCTGTGCAAAGCAATACTTCTTTCTACTCTACCCCCATAAAGACAGGGAGCATGCCTGCTGTGTGAACTTCATCTACCCAATGCCTTGAACATTTCTTTAAATAAACAAATGTCCCATGTCCTTCTCTGTGCTCACTACTAAAGCATTCCAAGGAATGGGACCTGAGGGCTAAGCCTCCATCAGCTTCCTTTTTGTTCAGGCATTCCACCATGGTCCAACCCAATGTCATAAGCTATTTAGCAGGGGCCACCCAAGGATAAAGAATTCCCTGCAAGTGTGTGCGGATCCCCCAACAATGGACATACAGTTTCTAGATGTGGTCTACTCAGTCCCAACAAGCTACAGGAGGTAGATGCTGACAGGACCACCCGTGATTCCCAGCTTCTAACATTCCTGCCATTGGGCATGTCCTTCTCCTTGGATATAGGATGGACTCATGACTCAGTCCTAATCAGTAGAAGATGACAAACGTGATGGGGGTATCTCTTTATAATTAAGTGAAAGGACCATGTCTGGTTATTCTCTCTCTGTGTTCTTGCAGTATACTCGTCTGAAAGATATCTATAATCCACCTAGCAAGGAGCTGTGGGCAAACTGTAGACAACGGTTGGAGGTTGAATCTTCCTAAATGTCACATGATTTTAGAATTTCCCAGCAAAGTCTTCAGATGAGGCCGCCACCTTGATTTCAGCCATTGAAATACCTGAGACAGGTCCTGGCTATACCGTCTGGGTTCCTGATAGACGCTAAGTGTGAGATAATAAATATGTCCCGCTTGAGTCAACTCCCCAACATATGGCATCTTTTTATCTGATGGCCTGGGGTCATGTTCAGCAATCTTGGTCACCCCCTCCAAGGGCGATGAAACCTCAGCTCCAAATATTGGCATTACAAGGCTCTAGAGGTCCAGGATCTGGTGAGCTTGGGATTATGTGTTATATGTCGGTAGATGACTACACTCAGCCAAATGGCATCTCACCTCCATGTTTTTAAAACTGTTTCACTGGGCTGACCATTCATAGCAACAGAACCAACACATTTTCAGTCTTCGTCTTTCAAGGGCCAGAAGCAATGGGAAGTTGAATGAGTGTTCATGAAAGAACTCCTGGGTTGAGCCTGTATTCAAGAGTCTGTATCCAAGGTGGAGACAGAAGCCCACCAAATCCTGGACCTCTAGAGCCTTGTAACGCCAATAATGGGAGCTGAGGTTTCATTGCCCTTGGAGGGGGTGACCAAGATTGCTGAACGTGACCCCCAGGCCACCAGATAAAAAGATGCCATGTTGGGGATGAATTGGCCTCCATCACTCTTGGAGAACAGCTTATATTTTGGACAAAGGTGGCTACAGGTCCTATGTTTGAGTCTCTGAAGCAATCCCAAGCCACCAGTGGTCCAGCAGCAATCCGCTGTCTCTTCATACACCCAAGCTCCTGCCTTGAATACAAATGTCCCCTGCACAGAGCCCTGAACCCCTCTGAACCTCAGCCAAAGCCAAGACATAGAACACCCAGTAAAGGGTGGAGCAGAAGCTAGGCCTCTTTCTAGTCTCCCCAAGACCCGTGGGCAACTAGGAAACATTAAACAACAGAAGAAAAACAAATCAATCACAGAAAGAGTGTCTACACACTTTCCATCCAACAAATTATGTGCGTCACAAAGGGTAGCTGGGAAACACATGACAAAAGAGACAAATGATCGGAGTTTGTATCCTCCCACAGGCTGCTGCCGTGGCTCTCTGTGTGTGAGGAAGAGGGTGGAGGGAGAGAAGGGGGTTGAGACCTTCAGTGTAACCCAAGGGAGGGCAGAAGGGCTCTTCCCTCTGGCTTCAGAGTGCTGTGCTGAGATGCCCTCTCTTTCCCTTGCCCTGTCTGCTGCAGACTGGAGCTCAGCCCGCATGCTCTGTGCACCACAGATTCTACCGTCCCAGGGGAGGTCTGGGTGTGACAGTCCAGAGAGCAGCGCTGTCTGTCCTGAATCGCCTTTATGGTCCTTTATGGTGTAGGATGCAGTGACTCTGAAGAAAGGCCCCAGGGAGGCTTTGTGAAGAGAAAAGAATAGTTGTTCTGGGGCCTGAGGAGTGTGGGGTGAAGCCAGGCCCCGACTCCTACAGAGTGAGCTCAGCGTATGACCTGACACATACATGCCTTTCGGCTTCAGCGTTCCCATCTAAGTGTCTGCAACAGTTTACCGGCCCCATGTCTACCTTATATGGTTCAGCAAGTCTAGTGAGACCCTTGTCAAGTTCAAATTTAGGGGAGCACAAGGAAGTCCCATAAGCAACGTAATTAATACTCTAAGGATATACATGTATATATTTGCATATGATTTGCATCCGAGAAGTACATGTTCTCATGACTGTGTGTGTGCATGCAGATGCAGATGCACGTGTGTGCCTGTGCATAGAGAGCCTTAAGATCAGTGTTGATGTCCTCCTCAGTTGGTCTCCACCTTAGTTTTGAGACAGGTTCTCTCACTAAACCCAGAGGTGTAGACTTCCCAGCCAACGGGCTCCAGAGATTCGCCTGTCCCTGAGCCCTCCCAGACTTGGAAGTTATGGACACAAAGCTGTACTTGACTTTTGAGTATTTTCATGCTTGTGCGTCAAGCACTGTACGAAGCAAGCCATCTCCCTAGGCTTTTTAATGCAATATGTTTACAACTCTAAATTAGGGAAAAGAATTCATCACAGGCAAAATACCACAAGGTATTATCTGCTTACTAAACGGCTGTGGTGAGCCATTCGCTGCCTTTGCTTGGATGTTTTTAGGAGGTTTAGAAGGTAAATTCTGGATGCACAAGAGCCTCTGCTGGCCAGTCTGGCCCAAACTCACCTTTCCCGTCCTGATTTGCACCAGCAAATGATTAGCAGAATACGTAAAGAGGGCTTATAGGTCCATCCGATCCTGTCACCTCAGCTCTGTCACCGTGGGTAAATTAGTCTACTACGCTGGGCCTCAGACTACTTATGTGTAATTGCCACCAAAGCTATCTCCACAACTCAGGATACCTGACCCATGGCCAGTGTTCAGTTACCAGAGCTGCCATTATGGGATCGTTGACCAGACAGGCATCAGGATCATATGAAAATTCTCCTTGGCTGGGAAGTGATGAAACAGGCTGGCATTTGGTGGGGGCTTTCTCACTGCCTCTGTGATAGGATGCATCTGTCCAGCCTTCTTGTTAATCAAATCTGCAGCTGGCCTGGGAACTGCTGCCTGGAGCTGCCTTTGCCGCTGTGTCCGCTGCCATCTGGATATCAGAGGGAACATAGAAAAGGGGTCTAGGCAAGGCAGAAATAGCTGAGGCAGAGGGCCCAGGGAGTCCAGGTCTCAATCTGTTTGCAGCACATGAATTTGAGAAGCATAGGTTTTGGCAAGGAAGAAAATAGCATGCCCAGGTTGCGATGAGCTCCCTTCTGCTTTTTTCCTTCACGTGTAGAGTTGGAGCTTTGGCTCAGTTTTGTCTGATTCTCTGTTCAGATGACTGAGCTCTCCGGTCTGAGGAGATCTGAGGATGCAGGGAACTCCAGCAAGGCAAAGAAAACATTTTTAAATCATTTGGGTAGGTGTGTTCTTTTTGATGCTCTCCGACACTGAGAGGCAGAAAAGAGCCAGGAGGATAGCTGGTGAGACAGGGGAGCTACAGGATGGCGGAATGTAGACGCCTTCCACTTTTAACAGGACTGGAGACCACCTGGAGAGCTCATTAAAAACAGCGTTTTGGGCAGGAGAGAGGCTCATTGCGTGCACAAGGTCCTGGGTTCGAGCCCCAGAACACATTTTTGTTTGTTTTAAGCTAGGCATGCTTGTAAGTCTAGCACCTGGGAGACAAAGGTGGGTGAATCCTAAGCCTTGCTAACGTAGCCACCAAGGCAAATCTCAGACCAATGAAGGACTCCATCTCAGGGGAGGAAAAAGGTGGCTGGTACCCGAGAAACAGCACCAAGGCTCTCTTCTGGTCTCCACACTCAAGCAGACACCTGGGCATACACTTGCACCAATAGGAACATGCATACATACATATAACACAACCACATATGCACTTGCACCAATATGAACATACACACACACACACACACACACATAACACAACCACACATGCACTTACTAATATGAGCATACACACATACATATAACACAACCACACATGCACTTGCACTAATATGAACATACACACATACATATAACACAAACATACATGCAACACACTTGCCTCAGCCAGCCTAGGTGTGGTGGGAGGCAGGACTCTGCGTTTCTAACAGGCCCCCAAGTGACTGGGGTTCTGGTGTTAGGTTTGGACTCTGGAGTCGCGCAACTTAACCTCTCTAAGAACCAGCTTCCTCACTTGTAAAACAGATGGAAAGAGTCACACCCCATGGGGTTCCCATGAGAGGGAAATGGACTAAGCATACACACACACACACACACACACACACACACTTGAAGCCCTTACCTGGAACATACTTAAAGCCCTCAATACATGTTAGCTCCTGGAATCCTTAATGGCTAAGCATCTCACCATGAGAACTTCTATCTGCCTTTATAAACAACCTAGAAAGAATGTGTAGGACGGTCTCTATGCATTTAGGCCTCCGCAAAATATCTGCATATCTTTTCAAGGGTCTCAGGGGCCCTGGAAGTTCACCCTTCTCACATCCTTGGTTAAGGAGGTTATAATTGCGTTCACATTTGTAACACCTCTTTTTCAGTATTCAGTGTCGATGGACATGATGCCTGGTAATAGCTCTTGTTTTTGAGCCTCTCCTCTGTGATCATAATGATCCGTGGTTCAACGTTCCTTCAGGGCAATCACAGCCATTCCTATGCTACAGACAAAGTAACTGAGCCTTAGAAAACTTGTTGAGTGCTGGAACCAAGGTGCGCTCAACTGTCAGACCGCCACTATGTCACCACACTTCCTTAGAGTGGTGACATTACCAGGAGAATGTACTCAGCAAAGTCCAAGTGATCAGGAGCACACAGAACAAATTAAGGTTGCCCTCGTCCTCAAATCTCTTCATCTAGCTGAGAATCAAGATGAACATTGGGGCTGGCAGGAACCTCAGCAATGCAAACTGCCTCACAGGTTACAGCTTTGGGCTCAGTCCTCAGCATAACAATAAGTAAATGCATAAGGAGAGAAGTAATCATCATAATCAATAATGGACATGACAGAGGTTTCTGGGGTACCCCCGGCATTAATGTGTTCCTGGTATTTTGAAGCCTGCCTTGCAGTTATATCATTAGGCTATGGCTAGTGAATGTGGGTGGGCATGGGTGATGCTAACTCTAGGTGTGGCCATTATGAGCATGTGTGCTCCTTCTTCTCCTTGTCTTGCAATAGTAATTATTACAGCCATGCGATCCAGATGACACTGTTCAGATGCAGGCAGACAGCTCAGTGGGTCTCAGAATAAGACAAGAAAGGGAAGTGAATCTCTGAGGGGGGTCACACCATAAGATCCTTGGTTAATGCAATATTTTCTAATTTCCTCTGCTCAGAGAAATGAGGTTGTCATGGTTGTGAAGGAGGAGTTCCAAGAAGACCAGTGGGTCCTGAAACACGTATGGGAAATCACCTGAAGATCTGGTTCTAGACCCAGCAAGAAGAAATATTTTGGAAGGGTACTAGAAATGATAGATCTTTAATAAAGCAATTCTAAGGATTAGCAACATTTGGAGACCCCTGCAATATGAACTTCTACATCCACCCAGAAAAACACTCAGAGCAGAGACATTGTCACATGACCTCCCAGAGGGAAGGCTCCGGTGGAATTTCCCCGGTAGACTAAGGTCCTCCTCCCAACTGTGTCACTCTAGGAATTCAAAACGACTTCACCTTTAGCACTTAGAAAGATGCATTTTGCACAGTTGTTGTGCTGATTGCGTTAGTACAGTAGAGTTGTCACAAATTGCCCCCAAACCTAGTGACATAAAATAACAATCATCATTTTATATCTCTTCACATTTGTATGGATCAGGAATTCAGAGGTTACCCGTTGGGCAGTTCTGGGTCAAGCTGTCTCTCAAAGGCGTGTCACATGCTGGCTGGTGCTCTGTTACCTGAAGTCTCCAGTCGGAATGGAAGTCCTCGGTGGTCTTGTTTGTACGGCTGTTGGCCACCGCCTTCCCCACGGGGCTCTGTGAACGTCCTCACCGTGCGGTGGCTGTCTTCCTTCCAAAAGAACCATCTAAAGAACAGGAGGAGGTGGTGATGGATTTCACACACGGTTATGCAGGATCTCCTGGTCACACAGGTTAGCTCCGCTCAGTATGGGGGAGGGGAGCAACTAGACAAGGGCAAGAATTGCAGAGGTGAGGATCTGCGGAGGCTGGCTAGCACAATCACTTCTGTTCGTATGTGAAATACTCCAAACCATGCCTGACACGTGATTAGAACTTGGCAAACATTTGCTATTTGTAACTTCTCACCCAGAACCCTGGCTCCCCCATTATTTTATTCTTCCTCATGCATTCTCTGAGGACACAGATGTGCCCTTTGTTCTGGGAGGCTGTGTCCTGGACACTTGATGGCCAGGAGAAGAGCACCCCACCCTGGTACTCTATATCCCTGGGGAGGAAGTATACTAGTAGAGACGAGAGAACTTTCGGGAGCTTGCATTTCTCAAGGCGTATTCACTACCACTATTTAGTGTGAGACACACAGTGTGGAGGGGTTAAGACCACAAACTCCGGAACAAGATTGCCTGGGAGCAACTCAACTCTCAGCTTTCTTTATTAGTCACATGACCTTGGACCAAGTTACTTCCTGGACCTGTTTTCTTCTTTGTTATAAATATGGATAACAATTCTTCTTTCATGGAGCTGTTGTATGAATTATATACTCTAACTATATGAAAGGCTCAGAACAATGTCTGGCTTGCAACAATGCTCATAAATATTAGCTATTATATCTACCCAGAGATGGGGATCAAGGACGATATAAAGGGACAAGGAAATAAAGAGATGCAGGACCAACTCAGACCTGTGTCTGTGATACTTTGACAAGTGCAAGGTAAAACTGGTGTTAACGCAACTCTCTAGTGCTTTCCCCGGACACCTAAGGCTGGTTTAGAGTGATGGACACACAGCTTGAGCAAGCACATGCATGATGTTGTGAACTGCTGGATCAGGCATGGGCATCTCCAACATCACCTGGTACATGTGATTTATCTGACTTCCTCTATGACTGGGACAAGCTCTTTCCTGGCTTTCTCCAAGTTCTTAATTTTTAACTCTATTCCCTAATTCTCTTTGTTTAAGAGAAGTTTGGGTACCTGAGTGGATTGCCTTCCATTGATGGGGAGTGGCAAGGAAGTTGGTGCTGGGGTCCAGGGTTCTGTCCCTGTGGGTGGGAGTAGATGGAGTGAGATGGGGCAGCAGGAAGGAAGAGAACACCTACGGGTTTGGCATCAAATACAAAGAAACAATCAGGTAGAGGATTCTCAGCACTTTAATTAGTGAATCTTAGGTAGGTTACAGAAAACAGAAGCCAGGGGCTGCTGGACGTTTTGCCCAGGGAAGTTTCTAGGTGAACAGATTCAGGGGTATAACATAAACACTGCTCCCACGGTGCAGGGATCTCTGCAACCTTCATGGCCAGCAGAGTGATGAGCTGCCATGAGAGGCAAGAAGGCAGCTTGGCTCAGTGTGACTCAGTTGCTAGTGTTGTTTCAAACTTCAAAAGTCTGACCCCAAGTGGTTTATTTTAGGGTTATTTAAGCACAGCACCATTTGGTGAAAACTTGATCCTGCATACACAACAAAAAATACATAAATCTCTATGAAGAACAAAGTAAGCTAAATACAGATCAGACGTGGCTATATAAAAACTCCTTGTAAAGCTGTAGATTGAGTGAGAAAAACAAATCCACGATAAGTGTCTGGGGAAATACTAGTGCCAGAAAATCTCTGGCCACACAGACAGTGTCACCAGGCTAGGAAGCACAGCTGCTTCAGCCTCCTGGGCAGAGAGCAGGTTTTGCCTTCCTTCTCTTGAGGGAACAAGCCTGTGTGCGTAACACCCTAGGTTCCCCTAGTGTGTGTCTGTGAGCACAAAGACCTCCATGGCCCCATACCATGGAATGCTAATGAGAAGGATATTGAGTTCTAGACGGTGGGGATACCACACAGAAAATAAACACAAGGTCCCGGTGTGCCTGAAGATTGCCTCCTCAAAGGCTCACTTGGTTCAGCAGACACCAAGCCAGTCGTGTTGGAAAGTATGATACACGAGAGGCTCATGCTTGGGTCAAAACCTGGGCACCAACCTATGGTATTGGGAGCAGAGGGCAGAAGAAGAGCTTTGTGTGATTGAGAACAGCAGGGAACTCTGGCTGGCTCTGGTGAAGTGAGTCCGCCCCAGGCTCAGAGGATGCGGTGAGGAGCATAGGTGTATGTTTAGCTCTATGGCAGGGCTTAGGTTTAGGAGTGAGAACATCAGACATTTTAAAGTGATCACTTAGCTACCAATCATAGACTAGATTTCAGCAGGCCATGTAAGTGGGGAAGCCTACAGAAGGATTCTAGAGTTGGAGTGGAAGAGGGAGTTGATCGGAGGTGCAGAGTAGACCAAAATCAATGGGGCTTCTTGGAGCCAGACTGTGATAGCAGGGGAGAGAACTCCACACACACACACACACACACACACACACACACACACACACACACTCCACCCCACCCCACCCACCACTATGACTCTGCAGTGACAACCACAAAAGAGCCTTATCTGATGCTACTACACAGTAGGACTCTGTGGGAAGAAGACAGATCACACCCAGGCACGCCCAGCAATCAACAAAGGCCATTTCCACCCCAAGTCATTCTCCTTCATTTTGGGTCTCACTAGTGGGAGGTAGGGGGTCACTGGCCTCCAGACTGAGCAGCTGATGGCTGGCCTTCTGGCTGGCAGGTGTACCCTTCTACACACTTATTAATGGAAGTTTGGAAAATCAGGAGCACTAGGAGGTGTGGAAAGGGGCACAAGGCCAGGATATTCATGTTCTGGGGCTCCAGTTTTCAGTCATGACGTGCCTTCGGCCCTGGAAGTCCCTGCCTGGGGAAGGCCATCCATGTGACTTCAGTCCTTGGTCTGGGTGGGCCCATGCACCTACAGCAGAGCCCAGATGGAAAAGGGGCAGAGCAAACATGTAGGAAGGGCAGGGAACCTACAAAGCATACCCAGTGCTCTGCAGCTCTAGCCTCACCTGAAACATCCTCTCCTGAGAGCATCTAAGACTCAAGAAGTAAAGGAAATATGTGCACATACCCAGATAAATGCAAATTACAAGGCCCAGGAAGCTCCCAAAACTTACAAACTTCACAAGATGGTTGACGAGGTTAGACAGGCAGCGGTGATCACTGGAAAGGGAGACTCCCTGAAAGAACATTTCCTGCTGCTGCCAGTCCCAGCCTTGCCTCCTCCTGGAATATCATGAATCCATGAGAAAGCTTTTATATTAGGAGGTTTCTTCTTCATTTTCCTTCTCTAACCTCATCTGAGACCACGAGGCCAGAGGTCCCAGATCCTTCACTAGTTCCTTGGCTTTTGATTGGTCTGGTCTTAGCAGGAACACAGCCTAGTGCCCAGAGTTTCTACCACTCTCCTCTGGGGCATCTTCCCAGTGATTCTGACTTGTTTATCCTCTGCAGAGGATCTTTTTCTCACACTGTGACTTCTGATGCCTTCATTTCTCTACCGGACAAGGACTTGGGGCTATCTGTGTGACCTCTAAGGCTTACCTGATGCCTGGAAAGTGTGAACTAAGCCAGTGGATTTAGTTACTGTTATTGCTGTGACCAACTGACTGAAAAGAAGCAACTTAGGGGAGGGAAAGGTTATTCGGACTTACAGTTCGAAGAGACATAATCCATCTTGGTGGATAAGTCATGGCTGCAGAAAGGCAAGCTGTCTGGGGTCAGGAAGCAGAGAGAAACAAAAGCTGTTCCTTTTTATTCACCCAGGACTTTAGTCCACGGATTGGTGCCCTCCACATTTAGGGTGTGTCTTCCTAAGTCAATCAACCCCATCCAGAACCTCCCTCACAGACAAGCTCGGGAATTTGTTTCTATCAAGATTCTAAATGTCATCCAGTTGACAATGAAAATGAACTCCCGCAGCCACTATGTGCCTCACCCCTACTCAGAGTTCTTGTTCTCCTGGGAGTCTTTGTGCAGACTGGCCTAAGTCAGCTCCTCAGACACCAAGACTCAGAGAGCAGCTGCTTCTGTTCTGGAGTTTCTCTCCTGCCTCTGTGGTCCAGACTTCCGTTTCTCTTACAGTTTTATAAAAATTCAGATATCACAGAATGGAGGCATTGCCCGGGATCATAAAAACACCAGACCCACATTCCTTTTGCTCACCCGCTGGTCAGAGCCCTTGTCTGCACCATGGCACCAATGGCTCTGTGAGCTTTCCCCTCTTGGTTGATTTCGAACACACACGGTAAGGACTGCAGAAGGGGAACTCAAGTGAGTTCATGAAGAAACGCTAAGGGGTCCTGTGGGATTTAGATAAAGGAGAGCCACTGGCTGACAGAGCAGGGCAGTGGCCTGATGACGCAAGGGCTTTTCCTGTCACGCACTACCTGCACGTCACTGTTTGTTAGAATAGCTTCTGGGCCAGAACTCTGCTTGGCTTTGTGGACATACTGTGAACAAATCAAGCTTCTCAGCCACAAGGAACAGGGCCTGGGGACACAGAGAGGAACTATCTTCAGACAGAGCTGTTTGGAGTTCCTCTGAGGAAGTGACCTAGATGAGCCCTGAAAAAATGAAAAGAAGCCGTTCTTTTGAAGAGCAGGGAGAGCGTGTCCAGGTGCACATAGCAGGGTGGGCATAGGGATTACAAAGGCTCTGTCATTAGAAATATAGAGAGGGACCCCGACACCGACAGAGGCAGGGGAGTGAGGTGTGAAGCGATGGGAAGCAACATAATACGGGGGAGGTAGAGGCTGAGGATGGTTTGTGCTGTGATAACGGGGATAAAGAAGAACGGCCCAAGGAGAGCGCATTAAGAGACAGACTGTCAGGGTGCGCTCCACATTAAACAGAGTTGGGGATGAGGCCTGTCTGGGACAGAGGCGGCAGGCAGAAATGCTCCACATTTCTGGCTGGGGTTGTAATTTCCTAAGGTAAAGAAGCCTGGGCAGGTGAGATCACGTTTGGAGGGTAAAACAAAACCAGGTTTGTCGACGGCTGCATGGGCATGGACCAGAGACACAGTCCCACGATGCCACCTTAGCTGTCGGAGTGGTGCTGTCCACAGGCTTCAGGCAAAGCTGGGACTCATGACGTTGCCACGGAAAAGAATTTCAGGATGAGCTGATATGAAGTGGAGCTGGGTTTTATTATGAAGATATTTCAACA